CCCAGCCATTCTATGAGTTATACGAAGCCCTTACCACAGAACAAAAGTCGGAATACGACGGCTGGAAAAATAGCCAAACATCTACGCGATAAAGGATTCAGAGTCTTTCTATCTAATGAAATCCCTCTAATGGATAAAGAGTTTCTCAACTTATTCTATTCCAATATTCCAAAATACTCTTTTGCATTCCAATTGAATATTATTCACAAGTTTAATAATGAAATGTTAAAACTTTATTATAAAAAACATGAATATGATTATATTATCTTTGATCGTACTCACTTTGATACAAAGATCTTTACTTCAAACAATATTAATATCAATAATGAAAAAGAATTATCAGTTCTTGAAACTACTTTTGATAATAATATTTTCAAATTATGTGAATTATTTGATTACATTTTCTACCTGAAACCATCAAGGATACAATGATCAAACGCCAAGAAAAACGTAATAGACAAAGTGAAAAGAATGTAGATAGACAATATTTAATCAATATTTACAATAAGTATGAATCAATGATCAATGATATCTATCATAATCATATTGTTATCAAGAATGAAGATGGTTTTGATTACAATAATATTTTGAACAATGTTTTTCTAAATAAACTTAACATTTTCTATTGTTGATAATGTTTATTTATAAATGATTATATACATTAACATAAAAAAATTTAAAGTTAAGAAACAAATAATAAAAATATCCCCCTTTTCTCTCGCCTTAACAGTTCCATCTGCAACTCTTCTCCTCTTTTTATTGCTAATTCCAACAACTCCTTTGTCTCTTTTACTGTTCTATCCAATTCACCAATCTTTTTTTGTGTCATTATCGTTGCATTATGTAGAACAGTATCTACACCCTCTTTTTTGACAAGAGTACATAGGTTTAGATCAACAAATACAAAGTCTCTTAAATCCTTTACTATATTATTTTTCCTTTTCTTGTCCTTTACTATTGATAATTTAATAGGACATGGAGACCTTGTATTAATGAAATCATGGAACTGGCTGGGATCAAGCTTCCAAGGGTTTTTGTGAGGTCACAAACATATTAATATGCCCTTTGTTTGGCATTGATTGAGGCCAGTGTCTGTTTGACTTTTCTGTGAGTCCCATTCATGTAATTGTTGAGATTCTTCTACAACATATAAGCCCAATCACCTTGGTCTGGCTGACATTGTAAAGCAAGTTTCAGCAGAATCATGAAGGATGCTGGGTGACCACTGGACTCATCCACAATCTTGCTTTGAATATATTGAGAGAGACCATTTGGATCACATAGTTTTTTGTACAGGTCAAAAAGCTTCTGCATGTGTAAAGAATGGCATCTCACAAAATGCAGCCTTGTTAAAAGGTGAGTCAAGGTTTCCATCATCATCCTGGAGTTCCATGAGCTTGAAGGTGCCCACACTGACATAAGATACTGCTTTCTTACTTGAAAGATTTCTGAAAAAATCACAGGCTACTTGGAGGAGATCTGAGGCATGGAAGACAAACTGGAATTCATCTGCAAGGAGGTATAAACGGGAATTGGGAGATAGATGTTGAAGCTGGCCAACCAGCTCACTCCAAGAGAGGGTTTGACCAAAGATACTGAATGACATGAAGTGAGAAAATGCTTCTTCTGCATCCATCTGATTACAATTCTTTGAGATGTCTGACATATCGAGATAGACAACAGTTGTAGTTGAGTTAGGTTCCTTCTTCTTCTTGAGTGTTTCTTCAAGTGCCCACAATAACAAAAAGGATGTCTTTCCAGATTGATACAGTCCATGGATGACAAATGACTTTCCACCAAGAATGCCAGTATACACTTCAGAAAAAATCTCCTGTTCAGTAATAGGAAGCATCAGTACAGGGCTTTCCAATGACAGTGGTCCTTCTATTGAAATGGTTGCCTGGAGCTTCTTTGAATCACAGTTATCTACAAGTGATATTTAAACGAGTTAGGAAAGTGTGATAGAAGCAGCAAGATGCTCCATAAAGATGTTTACCTTCTCCATCTATTTTTCGTTTTCCAAGTGCTTCTGGCCCTGAAGGTAGTAACACATATAGTAAAGTGAGATGAATGTTACAAGAATAGTTCAATTGCTGATGAAGATTTTTGCTGCACGTTTTGCAAATGATATGACAAGCAAAATATTATTAGGAATGTCCATATTACTATGTCTACTCTACCCTATAATTCACAACAAAGAAACTCGTATTACAGTCAACTGCCGATAATTCGACCTCCAATAATAATAATTCTATTTCGCCTATAATATATAATTCGATCGCTTGAGCAAGACCCGATTTCTTTTTTATTATTGTATAGTCAAGAAATCTGAGCCGACTTCACATGAATTCCATTGGGAAGGTTGACAGTAGCTTTACTGAATGCGGATTAGAAATTATCGACACATATTCTTACATTACACACAAACAGAGTTATGCAGTTCATTTCGAAATACATACCCTCCGTTACTTTCGATATCGCTTCCAGTTCTGCCTCACTCAGTACTAACTAGTAGGTCTCTAACATTCCGTCTAAACCTCGAGCCAGATATCTTCTTGGTAATGTGCAGTACAGACTTTCATCAATTATAAGTTCAGGTAAAATTTTCATTCACAACGAGTTTTTCATCGTTCGGTTAGCATGCACAGTCAGACTCTAGCAACACATTCAATAATATGAGATTACATACTAACAATCCGAACACAAATATAAAGGGTTGAGAACGAACATACTACTTTGGATCTAGTGTCTCGACAATCGCATGCATTATGAACCATTATTTGACTGAACCGAAGTCTTTGAGAATTGGTAATAATCCTTATTCAATGGGTCGACAAAGCGTTCGATCTCGGTCATGACAAATTCTCTAGCATGGATTTCACCACGTCATGGGCAACGCCCGCCATTCAAACGCGTTTGGAATACGTACCTGACACGAAGTAGTCCGACCGCGAGCTTATTTATTCCGGATGCAAATAGCATCTTATCGTTATTGAATTCGATTTCGGAAGGGAGATAACTATTAATTAAGTAAATGAACGTATTATTGGATAAACGTCAGTCTCAGTAAGGGCTGGCTTTTACGATTAAATCGAATAAGATCCGTAAAATCACCATTAAGTCTCCGGAGTCTTGATACCTTTCATCAAACTTAATTCACCTCATATCATTCCCACAACCGGCATGCGTGGCAAGATCGACATAAAAGCCACATGTGAGCGTCCGTACCAAAAATATGAGCCTCAAAATTTCCTGGCCGAAACTATCTTCTTGAAGAGACGAGAAATCAATTAGGATGGAATTTGACAGCCATCTACGTGACATAGCTCTGCATCTTCAATACATCGTACCAACAACATCGTCAGCAAGACGTAATGGAACATGCAGAAATCGGCATCTTAGAGAAACTAGCTAGTGATGATGGAATATCTAGAATTTGTAACAGAAAACCCCCCCCCAAACTAAATAACAGTATAATCATTTACGATATGACGGATATCGCGTTTTATGTATGTATATGATCTTGGGAGTTGATATAACAGTAAACGATAGTTGAATAATACGAATTTCTCATCCGTTACAGTTTAATCATTTACGTTTTATACGGATTTCCATCGTCGTTAA